CTACTTGCTTCCATTTTCCCTCCTATACCATGGCAGACATCACTAATCAATCACAGCTCTCTTTCACATGGATTACACATGTAATCTCAGAATTCTCTTCATTATAGAGCCCCAGGCAGTTACAACCATTAAGAAGAGTGAGAAAATGGCATACAATTTAATTTACCTTTTGAGGTCATGGCACAAAGGTAAATTAAAGATGTACAGAGGACAGAGGAGGGCATTTTAGCCAGAGGCAGGAATGTAAGCTGAATTATTCGTAAGAAGACTGATCGGATAGTACGAGAAAGCAAATTAGAGATGGGCTGTGTTACAGAGCCCCTTAACTGCAGGCTGACTCATAGCAGTAAGTGACAGCAGGGACTCGCTGAAGGTTGTTGGGATGTTGAGCATGTGGTCCCTTGTGGGCAAGGTCTCTCGGGCAGCCAGTGGATTACAAAGGGGGCTGAGTCCAGAGTGGAGGTGAGGAGGGCTAGGACTCAGGGGTGGAAGGCTTGGTGGACTTGCTGACTCCTGGCATATCAGGAATGAAGGAAGTGGTACCATCAAAGTGGCTTCTCTGATCTTGAGCTCCACAGGTGGGGAGAACAATGGCACCTCCTATGGGATGGGGGTTGGAACAGAGGAGAGGATGTGCTTTGCTTTGGACATGTTGAGTTGAAGTGCCTTTGGGACATCCACAGTAACTTCCCGTGGGCAGCTGGAAATGGGAGATTGCAGCCAGGGCTGGAGCTACAGACGTAGGGAGAGATGAGAGAAAAAAGTTCACGCTTTCGGGTCCAGCCTTGCTTTTACTCAAAGCAGTTTGGGTAGGAAAAGAAAGAGCAACACATTCAGGAAAAGGATGACCTGGGTGAAGGTCATGGCTTAATTAAGAGGCATTTGCTGCAATCTGGTTATTCCAAAAGACACTGCTTATCTGGGTCAAGTATCCTTTTCACAATATCACCTGAGATGAGTGGGGAAAAAAATTTTTTTTTTGGTAATAGGGAACAGTAAGTCACATGTACAGGACCCCTAATGTCCCAGTTGCTAAGAAAGAAAGTGTATATTTAACTGCAATACCCAAGCAATCAGAAGCGAGGTCAGAGGGACAATTCCTTTATTAGAAGACTCCATTTCCTAATGGGTAATAAAGTCGGTTGGACTCTAAGGTCGAACAGACCTAGATTTGGACCTCAGTTCCACCACTTCCTAGCTGTGTGAACTTGGACAAGATACTTAACCTCTCTGAACCTTGGTTCCCTCTTCCATAAAGTGAAGATAATAGAGTGCCTAGTGCACAGGGCTGGCTGTGGAGGTGATCAAATGAAATAATGCATATAAAGGTTTAGTCCAGTCCTTGACACATAACAAGCACGGAATGTATGAGAATTGTCTTTTTATCTAATACCTGACTTTTTTAGGAACAGACACAGCCAGTGCATCTTTTCATTGCTGACACAATTCGTGGGAAGTTCTCTGAGGGACACAGAGAAACTCTATACTGCTATGAAGCAACAGGGTAAGTTCCTTTGGTCTAAATCTGTTGCTTTGTCCAGTGAGGGAGGAAGTAGGAGAGGCTTTGAGAAGGTTAGAAGGTGAGCAGGTTGGCAGCTCGCCAGCCAGGCTCCATCAGCATGTGCCTCTGGGACAGTGTGGGGGCTCCTCGGCCTGCTCTCCGGGGTCTTTCCCCATTTCCACCAAAGTTTAGAGACATAGGAGTTCAGAGCAGTCACATGGGCCTGCGCTACAACCCACAGGCAGTGAGCAGGGAAGGGTCCCTTTCTGACCCCAGGCCTGTCCTTGACGAGATCTTTGGGAATTCTTACCACTGACAGCCAGCAGTATGCTAAAAATCTGGAAAGTTCTGGAAAGTTCCAGTTTAGAGTAGAAAGATGATTTGTTGTGGAAGGGTTACATGTGCAACATAATAGCAATACCTAGCACTTACTGAGCAATCACTACACGCCAGGTGCGGTTCTAGGTATGTCCCAGCTCACTCCATCCTCACCAGGACATAGGAAGGAACAAACATTCCCATTTTACAGAGGGGCCCAGAGACTTTCCATAACTCACCTGAGCTTCTCACAGTCACTAAGGAAGGAAGACTGGGACCCAGAGGTCTGACCTCAGAGCCCGTGCCCGTACCTACTTGGCTGGGTGGCCCCATCAGGCTGGTGCCCAGGGCCTAACCTTCTGAGGGAGGCTTTGCTGATGAAGGAAGCCCCCAAGTCCTGTTCTCTCATCAGCGTCCTCCGCCTGGCACTAGGATCCAGATAAGAGCTGTCCTAACAGATGCTCACGGGGATGAGTCACCTTCAGGAAACCGCCAGCTCTTCTCAGGGCCCCTGTTCTTTCATCTCCTTGTTCCTTTCCTGGTTGTAAATAGGACACTGAGAGCATGCCTCCAATTCCTGTATTCGCTCAGACCTCTCGCCTCCAAACAGTTTTTAGTAGGAAAGGTAAAAACATCCCTGTTGCATCATTTTCCTCCCAGCTAGGAACTAGGGAGATGGCCTGGTCTCTATTTAAGTGTAACCAAGGGACATGCCCACTTGTCCCCACCTCCCACCTGCTCTAAAGGGGCCACCAAGGGGATGGGAGTTGGGTGAGTCTGCCCCGGGCTCCTCCCTCAGGAGCAGGAGCTGAAGGGCTCAGCCAGGCTCAGGGATGCAAAATTTGCTTAATGATCTCCCGAAGCCATTAGCATGAAAGTATTATGATGATGGACCTTAGAATCTAAGGACAAACCTCAGGTAGGAAGAGAGAAACAACCAAGACAAGGTGTCCCAGGCCACAGAGCCTTTGGAGACCGGGTGCACAGAGACCTCCGGTGCTGTCCCACCCCCACATCCTCTCTGAGCCTGGGTCAGGGGCAGGAGTGTTATGAAATGACAGACTGCCGTTCCTCATTCACCACTCACTGACTGACCACTCACTGACTGTTCCACAAACGTTCACTGAAAGCTTTCTCTGTGCCTGAACCCCGCCCTGAGCTCGGCTGCAGAGCCAACCCCGCCATGGTCCCCAAAGAACCCTCAGGCTGCAGGAGAGCAGACTCCAGACACCCAGCTGGAGGTCCCCACACCCCCACACGGCTTTTTGGAAGCTCACACACCTAGGGGACCCTTCACTTCTGACCCCACTGAGAAGATGCACTGGCAAGGTGACCTCACCTAAGGCTGGGAGGAGGCAGGTGGCAACAGGCACCACTCAGGGTCCCCCAGTGACTGAGCTGCCCACTGACCCTGGACCCCACGCTGGCACCCCCTTCTCCCCTCATCCTTGGAGAGCTTTGGGGTTGGCGAGGCTTGGCCAAGTTGAAGGTGTAAAGATACTTCCTCTGTCCTTTGTTCCCACCACCACCCAGCCTGTTGTGGCAGCACCAGCCCATGGGAAGCCAGGCCACGCAGGGCTCTCCAGGGCTTCCGCTCGAGGGGCAGCAGAATCTCACATGGCTTAGACACAGATTTGGAGCCAGATCTGTGTTGATTCTAATCCCAGCTGCACCCCCTTGGGCAAGTGTCAATCTCCAAGCTTTAGTTTCCCTGACTGCAAAGCATTGCTGATCAGAGGCCCTCCCTCCTGGGACCATGGGGACAATTAAAATGAAGTGATAACTTCCAGGCTCTCAGCACCCGGCACACTGGAGCCTGCAACAAATGGTAATCATTGTCCTGATAGTATCAAGTGTATTCTTTCTATCCTCAAATTCTTTGAAAATTAGAATGAACTTGGAGGTGAAAGACCTGGCTCAAAATCTGGGTCCCATCCCTTCCTGACTGTTCTATAGATCCACCTGTCTCTGAGCCTCTCGTTCCTGGTCATGGGAGAAAGTGTTTGCCTTACTACGTTATGAGATGAAATGAAACAACAGATGGAAAACTGTGCTGTGAATCAGTGCAGTGAATGGAGGAGATTATGAGCCGAGAGTTCCCACAGCATCTGTCCCACCTCTGCGGGGAACACGGCCCTGTACCCAGGACTCCCTTCCCCCTCTGAGGCCTTCTCACCCTCTGTGGCATGGAAGATTTCCAGCTGGTTCTGTCTCGTTGCCTCTCCCAGTCTCTAGTGAAGCTCTCAAGTCCCCTGTGGACCAGCCCTCTCTCTGTCACACACCTCTCTTTGTGTAACCAGGAGTCACCATTCATCGCACTTGGGATATGCTAAGCATTTTGTAGGCATCCTCTCTTGGTCTCCCAACAACCCTGCAAGGAAAGGACCACTGTTATCCCATTTGCTAGATGTAGAAACTGAGATGAAGGGGAGTTGAGCAGCTGCGCCAGGTGGTGTAGGACTTTTTCACCAGGAACCACGGCAGGAATTTGAGCCCCGATCAGCCAGACCCCTCAGCCAATGTCATGGCCCCATTCAGGGTCGGGCCCAGGGAGGCACCCAGCACACGCACTTTGCTTGGTTCAGTCTATGCCAGACTTTGTGAAGCACACCTTCAGCAGCTCATTTGCATAGGAGGGGAGGCAGTGAGCACACGCTGGTGGACAATGGGGAGACCACCCCAGTCCTAACTCAATCGATACATTTCTCAGCACCTGTGATGGCCAGGGCCTGCTTGAGGAGTTAGAAATATGTATTCATTGTGTTTTTTATTTTCTCTTTGACATTTCAGGGGCCTTACATATGGGCGTGGAAATCCCACCTCCTAGAGAGAATCTAACAATTTGCTGTGAGTGCGCCTTTTACCTGCAAACCAACCAACCTGCCGTCTGTAGCCCAAACACCTTCTAATCTAACTCTCACACACGCAGCTGGTATGTCCCCTCCCCTACATCATCCGAGGGTCAGATACCAGGCAGCCAGAGAGCACCCTGTGGGCCCGAAGCCCAGTGGAAGTATTCAGATTAGCCAGTCCCAGGGTGCCCCGCCACGCCCTTCCCCGAGAAAGCCCGATAATGGCTCTGGCCTAAGCTTTCTCCCTGCTCCTGCTTCCGCCTCCTGACCAAGTCTGGTGCAGGGGAAATCTAAGTAGTAAAAATCCTTTTTTCACGGCAGAGGTCTTCCCTCTGAATTGACGACTCACTTCCATAAATTAAAATCCTGAGGAGACATTTTGAGACAGAAGGTAACAGCTGTGTGGGCAGACATGGTCCTGTGCTTGTAGGCACATGAGGAAGATGGGAGACAGGTGCACAGTGACAGGCGGAGCGTGGAGTTGCAGGCAGAATCCGTCAGAAGGAAGAGCTCCGGGAGCGACAGAGCAGGGTGCTCTTCAGGCAGGCGTCAGAGGCCAGCGCCTCCCTGGGACTGACATCTGTCAGCAGGACCCAACAAGTGCAGAAATGAGCCAGGTGGACACCAGGGAAGGGGGCAGCTCAAAGAACATTCCAGAGAGTGGTGAATACACAAGGCCTACCACGAGGACGTGCCCGGGGCCTCTGAGGAAGAGCAGAAGGCTGGTCTGGCTGGCAGAGAGCAAGCAAGGGCAGGAAACCCCGGGGTGAGGTCGAGGCGGGACGGGTGGGTCACGCAGGGAACTGTGGCACTCACCCTGAGTGAGCCAGGGAGCCACTGGAGGCTGCCAGAGCCAGAGAAGCAAAATCATTTTTGTCCTTCCGGAGTGTAGACCAGCAATTGTCCCTCAGCCAGGGAGGATTTTGACCCACTCCCCATCCCCACCCCATGTTTGCAGACATTTTAGGTTGTCACAAATGTGTGCAGGGGGTGCCACAGACCTCCAGGGGGTAGAGGCCATGGATAGTGGTAAACATCTTCAATCGCAAGGGACCGTCCTCACAGAGAAGAATTATGTGGCCTAATGTGTCAACAGTGCCAAGGATGGAAACCCTCCTGGAGACTCCCTTAGGAGGACTGAGCAGTTCACACCTGCAGGGTCCAAGTTCCTTGGATCCCAGAATCCCCTTACCTCCCTCGGGGAGGTAAATACTCCCCGAGTTACTGTTGGCATATCTTTCCCTACTCCAAAAACTACCTCACTGGGACACTATCCAGCTTGCTGCCTGCTCCTTGGCGCCTGCTGTGCGTCCGAGCTGAGGGTGATGGATCTTCTGTGCTCAGGGCCATCCACGCAGCCCGGACATGGAGTGTGTATCCTGCGTCCTGAAGTGTAATTTATTAGGTCTAATCCCCATCTGGGGGAATGGTAAGTCCTCCCCATAGAAATGCTGTGGGGGAGGATACGCCCCATTATTATTCACTGGGACACTGCTGGGTGTTCCCAGAAGTTCTGAGAACATATCACATGCTCCTCGGGTGATTTAGAGGAGACTGTGCTCAGGAAAAATGTCCACAGATATCCACTTCACGCCCATTCATCTTTCCACAGAAGAGTAGAATAGACAAACATTTTAAAAGAAAGCATCGGGCACTTACTGCTTCCTCGACAATGCGAGTAAATGTTTCAAAAGCTAAAGTCAGCCACAAAGGTTCCTAACCTCCAAACCTGTGTCTCCAGTTTCCCTCTGAAGTCAGAGTTGATAGAGGCTGCAGAGGCATGTTCGCATTTCAGAAATTCTCTGTCCTCCTTCATCCCAGTTGTCTAAACATGTAGAGTGCAGGAAGGACGTGGAATTATCAAGAGACTCCAGCCTCTGTACTTGTAGGAAGAGTCAGCACACTCTCAGTCACCCCTTGTCCCCCACACCCCTGCCCACAAGGGGCAAGGTCAGCTCTTACACACCCAAGGTGGTTTAATGTCCCTGGATTCTAACTCCCCAACTCACTAAGGTAAACGCTCTTTGCATGTATGTTTCAGTTCAGAGATACCTTCTTCTGGGTCCTTTTCTTTCCCATCCTGTTGCATGGTGCCTGCACCTGATCCAGTCTGGGGATGATTCATGGATTTGCTTATCCTGATGGCCCAAAGTGCTCCCACCCGCCCATGGTGGCCCAACACCACCCTACCCCGCCACCTTGCAACTTCACCCATCACAATGGAAGCAGCTGGACCCGGAATGGGCCCCAGGAGGGCTGTGGAGTGAAAACCTTGGGCTCAAATCCTACCCCTACCCCTGAGTAACCAGACCCCGTGGGTAAGTCATTTCCCCGGTCTGTCCTCGGTCTCCTCATCTGGCAAATGGGAATCATTGTGCTTACCTTACTGGGTTGTGGCCAGCAGCAAATGAGATGAGGCATGAGAAAGCAGCTTTCAAACTGCCAGGCGCAACTTGAATATCACGACTCTATTCCAACATGTCATTTAGCTGTGAATTGGTGGAAGCAGTAGGATCATGTGAAAGGAAGTGTCTCCTCCTCGCAGGGCAAGTTCAGAGGGCTTGGGCTGTGGCGGTGTTGAGCTGACCATCTTATCAGCTGAATGGGTGAAGGGAGGGGGCCATTCCTGCCTCAAAAGTGGGTTCAAGGGTTTCATATTTGAACATCCCAATGGTCAGCTTTTCCCCAAGAAGAAAATACCCATCAACATAAGACAACAGAAGGATTCTTTCCTTCCTTTTTTGTTTGCCATACAGCAATGCGGTCACGGAGGAGAGTTCACACACTAAGTTTCCAAGTCATTTCTGTTTAGCTCATCAATAATTGCCTTATAAGAACGATTCCATGCCTGAGAAGCATTTTAAGCCTTTTTAAGCTCCAAAGATTAGGGTGCAAGAGGGAGGGGGTGGGAGAAGGACAGATGAACAACAGACTGGAGTACATTTTCCATGCGCAGAAGTAGATTCTGTACTTGGGTTAGATTAATCCCCAAATTGAAACCAGCCCTGAGCTTCATTCGGAGAAAGAAGGGCAGAGAGATAAGAGGAAGCCCTCAGCAAAGCCCCGGCATCGAGCTGTCTGCACAAAGGCCGACTGGGCCCTTCCCTTGAAGCCGAAGGACAGACAGGCCAGCCCGCAGAGGACAGATGGAGGGTGAGAGATTGCTTAAGGACAGGCGGGAGAGGGAAAAGAAAAAGGGACAGCGGCCAGTGGATGGCGCCCTCATGTTTTGTCAGAGCACCAGGCTGCCCTCCCTTCCCAGCCTGGGCCCACTGGCCCGCCTGGGCTCACACTGTGGAAAACACAAGCATTGGATTCTGAAAAGACTGAGGGACAGGACAGGCCTGAACTGCTTACAGCCCTATGCAGAGGGACATGCGCAGAGGGCCTCAGTGCCCACCAGCAAGCTGACCCCTTCCTCATAGCATGCCTGGATTCCTAAACTCCAGGACCAGGGCCTTCTTGGGAGAAGCTAGAGGTGGCCCCAAATGACTCTGAAGATTGTCATGAGAGGGGCTACCAGGACACAGGGTCTGAAGGTGGGCCTCAACAGGATTAGCTTGACTGGAATTCTGGGTCTTCCAAGGGGCCTAAGAGCTTCTAAGGGGACAGCACTTGTTTGGAGGTGTTGGTGACAGAAAAGAACTGATTTTACTACGTGATTTGGTAGTCACACCTACAAAGACTGAACTACAACACATGGGCGACTCTGTGGACATGGCTGTGCATGGCCCAGCAGTCAGGAGCAGAAATGTGGCAGAGCCCAGGGCCCAGGAGGGGCCACCCAGGAGGGATCCTGCAGGCTAGGGCTTCTGAGAGCTGCAGGTGCCACCAAATGGGAGAAGAGGAAGAGGAAGATCTGAAGAGGGGGGTGACTCCTAGCTAAGGGGGCACTACTCTGCTTCCTTCCCCTTCTGCCCAAGGCTTTGGGAAGGCCAAGCAAGGGCCCAGGGAAATGGTAGCCTGGTCTCCAGGTCCTGGCAGATCTGCAGGAGGGTGACAACAGGGACCACATGGAGAAGGTGCCCCGTGATGCTGCGGAGCTCCCCATCGTCACTTTCCCAGGCTCTGCAGATAGGGACACCCTGCTGCAGGGCTTTTGTCACCTCAGGGACCCCTTGATTTCCACTGCTGCTTGGTGACACTCAGGGCCACATGGACGACTCTGCAGTTAATTTTCTCTACTCACCATCAGATGGTGAAGGAAGATGTTGGAGTCACATGGCTGTCGGGATGTAAGATACTCCCAGGAGCACAGCGTTGGGGCAAGACCAGCGCAAACTTGCCAGAAAAACAATGGTCTGTGCAACTAGCCTGAGCGACCTGGGAGAGGTGAACCCGGAGACACGTGCAGTCTGGACTTGGGATTTTTAAGTGGCATTGGCACGTTCCTTCTCACTATCCCCCTCTTCCTGCTGCAATTGCATCTGTCTTTGTCTCTTATGAAAGAAAAACAAGTTGTGTATTAATACTATAAAAGATATGGTATATATTTAAACATCACATTAAACCATGGGATAGCACACTGCATTTTAATTTTTTAAATCATTTCTGGGTTTAGTTCTGCTGGTCGTCACTTCCATGTCTCTGAATAACCTGCTTTTGTCACCATTTGCTTTATTGACTGTGCACTTGACCTTCTGGCTGGATATAGGAAGACTCAGCTTACTCGAAAACTCTCCCACCGCTCGCCGCTCCTTCCCAACACACCTGATTACGGTTCTCAGTTCTTCCACTGGTTATGTGTGTCTAAACAACACATGCACACGTAGCGTTTAAAAATATACACCAGTTGCGCCCCGTGCGTGCCTGTGTGTGTGCACACCGGGGCGTCTTTCCTTTGTGTGTTCGTCCTGTCTTTTGCTGCGGCTTCGCCGGCACCATCTCAGTACAGGTGAAAACGTGGTGGGATAGCGGAGTCACCACACATGGCTTCGTTGCCGTCACACAGATGCAAAAAGGGGGCAAGAATGAAATACAGAAGGAGCTGGTGTCCTCAGCCCTGGAAATTGACCCAAATGAAACAAAGGTGGCAAAGCTGACCTGCGCCCACACCTACCACACACAGGGTTTGCCAGTGGAGGGTCAGACACCCGTAGACAGATCAGGAACCCCTGGAAGCAGATCGGCAGAGGTCCCCTTTGGCCAGAGTCTCCCCTTCTTTTGCCAGCCAGCTCCTACTTGCTGACACTGTGTCCCCAGCCCTCCGGGACCCCAGCAGCTCCCACGCCTCCTGCAGCAGCTTCCAGCTCTGCTCTGTGTTTCAGCCAGTCACGGATTCCATGAAGAGCCACCGAGCACCCTTCCTGTGCTTGGACACTGAGAAGGGGCTCATTCACAACAGACGAGGTCTCTGCATCCAGGGAGGGGGCTGAAGAAGCCAACGAACAGGACAGGCAATAAATCATTACACGTAGTCGGATTACCATAAAGGATGTCGAGAGAGAAAAGAATAGACCTGTTTCTGAAGAGAAATGCCTGCCACCTGGCATGTACCTGAAGCCAGAGAACATGGAGGGGCCAGGCTTACGAAGAGCAGCCTGAAGGGAGGTGCCAGAAGAGGGAAAGGAATGTGCAAAGGCCCTGTGGTGGTGATGGGCAGCAGCTGTTTGGCCACTGAATGGCAGGCACAATGGTCCGAAGTGAGGCTGCCTGAGGCAAGGGCCAGATCACACAGGGGCTGGGTGGCCGAGGAAGGGGGTTGAATTTTTGTCTGAGCACAATAGGAAGGCATGAAAGGATTTCAGCAGGGAAGTGGCATGACCCGATTTTTGTGTTCTAAAATGTTCTTCTTGAAGAATAGACTGGAAGCACCCAGGGGGTTCCTCTTTCTCAACCAGAGGCATAATAGACACCCCATGTTTGTGGGCCAGTAAATGATTCAGGCATCTGGGAGAAGGAGGGAGTTAAAGAGATGTGCGTTTGCACCAAGATGTCCAGTCAGCCATGCTTCTCACGGCAACTCTCACATCACAACTAACAAAGGAGCCCCTGCTCTGAGCACCACTTCGGGCGAGCAGAGTCTGGCAGGCCGGTGGCCGCAGCAGCCTGCTGGCACTCTTTCCCCAGGGTTTCCAACTGGGAATTCGGAGACTGGAATTACAGACAGATGCATCACAGTCCTCTATTAACATCTTTTTTTTTTTTTTTTTATCACCTGAACTCCTTTCCAGCCTCCCCGGCTCCACAGCAGGGGTCCCCATGTGATTTCTGTCGGGATCCACCCCCACTTTCAGGGAGCGGGGTTTGAGGTGCTGCCCTCCACTTTTCAAAGCCCTTCCCCTGGTCATCAGAGAGTGTCTTCTCAGGGCTGGGCTCTGTGAAACAGGGGACTTCCTCTCCCCGCCTCTCCCCTCCCACCACCCCTCCACTTTTTCTTCTCCTTTCTATTGAGTTACCTGTTCAAAGCAAAGCCAGCTCTCTCCTGGAACTGCCCGGATGGGATCCTGTCTCCCATCAAAGCTGCAGAATCTCTCTCAGGCCCAGCCAGTTGTGTCTGTCAAAACCTGTTAACGGCTACCGCCTTTGGGGGCAGCTCTGCCCAGTGGTCAGGGTTGTGGTTTACTAATTAGAGCAAGGCTTGAGCCTGCCACACAAAGACCCCCTGTGTAACACACACACACCTTGGTGAGTAAAATGAGCTGGGACTCTGGAGTCAGATGCTTGTTTGACAATCCGGCTACACCACTGACTAGGCGTGGGATGGCAGTAACCACTCTGAGACTCAGTGCTCTCACCTGTAAAATGGGGCTAATGATTGCAGTATCCACTTCATAGGGTTGTTAAATGGATTAAATAAGATCAACCCATTAAAGCACTTAAGACATGGAGGTGTTCAAGGAAGCTCCCTCATTGTTAACTAGGATAATTCCAGATTCAGAGGGTGCTGAGATCAGGAAGAAGATGCCACAGGAAGCAAAGGGAAGGGGAGGGATTCCCCAGCTTTGCGATGCTCCTACTGCCCACCAAGCTTTTATTATTGCCCCCCCCCAGTGGCCAAACCATGCAGAAGCCAGCGGGCAAGAGCGTGATCCATAGTTCCCTCCGTACCAAGTAATAAAGCAGGGGAAGACTTGGCGCCTGTGGCTCAAGTGGCTAAGGCACGAGCCACATACACCTAAGGTGGCGGGTTCGAATCCAGCCCGGGCCCACCCAACAACAATGACGGCTACAGCCAAAAAATAGTTGGGCGTTGTGGTGGGCACCTGTGGTCCCAGCTACTTGGGAGGCTGAGGCAGGAGACTTGCTTGAGCCCAGGAGTTGGAGGTTGCTGTGAGCTGTGATGCCACGGCACTTTACCCAGGGGGACAGCTTGAGGCTCTGTCTCAAAAATAAAATAAAATAAAATAAAATAAGGCAGGTGAGAAGCAAGGAGCGGTCCTGAAAACAAGCAGACATCACGTGCAGTGTGCATATGAGGCTGACAATTAAGCTTTTTAACTCATCCTAGAACAATAACTACACACTTTATTGCTGAAAATCTCTACAGCCACCTTCCAAGGACTCCCCTTGGCCATTTTGGTCATCACAGTGATATTTGGTGATAAGGTACATAGCACATTTTCTAGGATGAGAGGGAAACTCAATTGTCAGACCTTGTACGACTATAGTTCTGGTGACCACTCCAGAAAAAGAGTACAAAAATTGCTTTGAGGGGTCGAGGGCACCAGTGCATCACTTTCCAAGGGGAGTACTTGGAAGGTGACCAGAGTGATACTTGGCAGTGAAGTATATAGAACTTTTTCTAGGACTAGTTTGTGAACTTGATTGTCGGACCTCACACATACACGTACGGGTTTTACTTTGGTATATGCAGTTCGGCTCTCGTGTTCATAAATATGGCACATCGAGAAATAACAGCAAAGCTCTTTGTACAATCTACCCTAGTTAATTGTCACAAAAGGAAGGAAATTTGGGCTCAGAGGGATTGTTTTGTCCAAAGTCACACAAGCCTTAAGTGGGGATTCAGAGTAACAGCCCAGACAGTTCTACCCCCAGCTCTCCACCATACTCTACCCCAAAAGTTAGCTCTGGGGAGACTTTTGGTCAAAGCTACAGAAGCAGCTGAAAGTGGCCCGGGTCTCTCGGTCAGGAACACAAGTGAAGGCGACCCTGCCAAGGCCAATGTCTCAGGGCAACCCCTCCCGCCTTCATTTTTCTCGTACACACGCCTTACAACTCAGAATTGCTTCTTCAGCAACATTCAGTCTAGTTCTATAAAAAAAGTAAGAAGAATCAATTACCGCAAGTAGATAGAAAGAAGCTTTGGGGAGGAAAATATATTGAATTCTGTTTAGATAAATGCAGCATAATTAGTTTCTGAGAAGAAATCCAAGGAACTTCCACCACCCACTTCTCTTGCCCATCCCAAAGGCTGCAGGTAAATCTGGACCGGGCCTGGGCAAGGTGGCGGGGAGGGAAGTGTAGACGGTGGCTGCCCACCCCCAATTCCTGTCAACCTGAGTGGCAAGGGCTGTTCTTCAGCACCCAAGGCCAGGGGAGGGGGAAGTCAGCAGGGATTTAGAGAGCAAGCAGGCAAGCCAACAAAAATTGTTCTTTTTTCTTTTCTTTTTTTGGGGGGTGGGGAAGGAGGTGGCAGAGGGGTTGAAAAGAGAAGGGATGATCTCGCCTTTACTTTTATAATTAATCACTTGGGTCCTGGCCAGCAGGAAGTGCAGACTCTGCCCACCCGCCCTCCAGGCCTCTCGCTCCTGAGTTGTGTAATCATCCTGGGGGGTTACTCAGTCAGGAGGGAGAGTCAGTGCAGAATCCAAAACCAGGAGGAGAGAGATCTGAGAACAGGACCCAAAGGTCGGAGTCTGGCCCACAGATGTGCTTTAGGTGAGCATACGAGGGCAGACAATTAATGCAATGTTGGTCCACACAGGTTAAAAATCAATGGATTTGTTATCAACTTTTAGACATCAGGAGAATTTAGAATTTTAGGCCTCGTTCGGAAGAGCTAACTCTGGCTACACTAGCCTCATCCTGCAAGGTAAGGATGCTGATGCCCAGTGGGGCCTGAGCCCTCCAGCTTGCCACAGGCACCACCACTCCCTGGTGTGCCCCAAGCCTGCAGTTCCTAGCCATCCATCCCCACACTCCTGCTGTCTTCTTTGCACCCGCCTCACACCCCTCTGTCAAATGACCTGCCCAGATCCTGATCTCATTACCTACTGCTCCACTGCTTCTGTCATTGCCACTTGCCACCAGTTCCCCTGGGGCCACACAGCACCCCCAGCCCTACCCTTCCAAGACTCCCACCCACTCTGCTTCCTCCCTTGTATAGACGGGGAATTTACTCACTGTTCTTTGAAAATGGGTTGCTCTGCCACTTCCATTCCCCCTGCCTACGTGGCAGGCTTTTCCAATTTTTCTTTTAGTACCTAATTTAACCTCTCTGTTAATTGCTTTTTTTATTGCTGCCATAACAAATTACTGTACCTAGTGGCTTAAGTAACACAAATGCATTTCTTTATAGTTCTGTAGGTCAGGCCTGGCTCTTGGAAGACCAAATCCAGGCAGGGCTGTGTTGCTGGTCCTGACTTTCTTGCTGGCTATCATCGAGGGGCGTCTCTCGGCTTCTAGAGGCCACCTGCATCCTTTCTCCATCTTCAAGGCTTAGCCTCTCCCACACTTTAAATCTCTCTTTCTCCTTCTGACTCATCTCTCTGACCCGCTCAGGAAAGGTTCTCTGCTCTCTTTTAGGGACTCACATCTTTACAGAATTGGGCAACCTGGGTCATCCAACATAATATTTCCATCCAAAGGGCCATATCCTTAATCACATATGGATAGTCCCTTTTGTCATGTAAGGTTCAAGAGATTAGGACATGAGCATCTTGGGGGGGACATTATTCTATCATCTATTTTGTCACAGTCACCTAGAGGCCCATCAAGTCTTGCAACTTTTTAAAAAGTTCTGCCTTAACATTTCTTTTCTAATTCCTGTGCTGTGTGGCATTGAGAGAGTCCCCTGATCTCTCTGCTTCTCATGTCCCTTAGACACTGTGCTGGGCTGATCAACTTCAGAAAGCAGCTCTCCAGGGTGGAGGAAAGCTCTGACCTCTGGTGCTTGCCCGTTTCTGTGACATCAATATTCCCATGTGGTTGATTCCAACCTGCCTACTGTGATGCTACTGAAGGTAGAGGCGGCCAGAGAAGTGCACGTCAGCCTGAGCCAGCTGTAGCATTGGCTGCTTGCGTGTGAAATGAGTCATCGACCAGTGACCTGAGGATTGCTGGTGAGTCCGTGATTTCCCCAAAACTGCTAAGCATCTAATGGCTGTCCATGGACGTGTGTCCCTCTCTGGGGCAGGTGCCATCCCCAGTGTAAGTGTTTCAGAGATCGGAAGACGAGTTTTATGAGAAAGGATTAGAAGAAGCTGCTTAGAAGGAGGCACAGAGACCTCTGGGGTCTGTGGGCCTCAGAGACTCACAAAGTCCCAATCGAACCACAACGTGAGCATTGCTTCCAGAATATATGGGTTCTTCCAAGAAAACAGTTCAGGGAATAAGGCAGTTACTGTGATTTCTCCAGGTACACGTGAGGAAGAATCAAATGAAGAATGTCGGCTTCATCAAAGAACCGTTAGGAAGTCACATAAAGTACAGAAATAATTTTCTCCTCACAACATGTGCATTTCCTTTGTGGTTGTTAAATATCTTGCCTTTAGACAGCCTGTGACCTTGTTTGTTGAGTTCTTGCTGTGTGAAGACCTTCACATGTATCGTCTAATTCAGGATCTCAACCTGTGGGTTGCGCCCTCTTTGTAACAATGAAAATACATCGAGGCATTAAGAAGGTTGAGAACCACGGGTCTAATTCAATTGGCCTTCTTAGTCACAACTGGTTGAATGGCCAATCCCTAGAACATGGGGCAGCAGGGTCTGGCCCTCTAGATGGGCACATAGCAAAGGTCTGTGTGGAGCCAGTGGGAAAGTCAGGCTGGAGCCAGGACCTTCAGGAAAGAGTCTAGGGAGGCCTCCCTTTCTGCAAGAATCAGTGCCCGTGAGCTCACCGGCAAATGCTCTTTTCATTTATTTGCGTTGTTGCCTTATCTATTAACTTAGCCCCAAGGATGGAGGTCCAGGATGAACATCTAAATAGGTGGGAGAAGACTTTTCTGACGGGACATGATGGGTATAAATGAAGGAAGGCATGAGACAGGGTGGGGGCTCCAGATACATGCCAGGGGGGTGGGGATGGGAGGAACAAAGCCTGCAGGGAGAGAGAATTCGGAAGCCCAAGGGCCAGATCAGCAGGACTTCCTCTGCCAGCTAATCAGTCTGGACTTTGTCCTGTAGGCAGTGAGGCACTGTGGATGGTTCTAGGCAGATGAGTGACACAGCCAGACTGGAATTTTAGAAGCTCACTCCTCTGACACAGTGAAGGCTGGGCCTCGAGCAGGGCTGAGTAACTGGAGGCTACTGCGAAGGTCCACGTAGGGATGTTGAGGGCCTGAGCCATAGCCGGCAATGAGGAAGGGCCTGAGCGGTCAAAGGGATGGAAAGGGCACCCACATCTCAAGATCCCTCCTCCTGTTCAGGTTTTCTGTTTTAACCTGAATATCTGGTGGGTGCCCAAACTGATGACCCACTCACATGTGTCCTCTGCAAAGACCCTGCCTGGGGGTGGGCTAGGCCACAAGCTGGAAGATCCACATTCCGGGGAGCCCAACAGATTGGAGAAGAAAATGAACTCTGAGGAAAGGGAGCATTCAAACCAAAATCCCCGGTCTCTGGGCCAACTGGTAAACAACCCCTGCTCGGCTCAAAGCCTGGTGACAGCACACAAATCAATAATCAGTGGCTCTGGGGAGGCTGGCCAGGGCAAGGAAATACCAAACCCTCACTCTGGGGGAGGGCATCATGCTTTATCCAGCTCCCAATAACTGTGTTGGCAAAACCGGAAAGGAGCTACATTTTATAGTAGAGAAAACTGAGGCTCAGGAAGCTGCTGATTTACTCAGGGGTCCAAGCTGGTATGAGGGAGCGAGGACTGCACCGAGTCCTGGAGGACAAGTTCAGCTCTTCCTGATGTCCTCTTAACAAATTCTGGGACTCATGTGGTCTGTTCCATGTGACCTAACACTTGCCGTTCTCTAATTATGTCACAGGGTAGTGATGGCTGAACATCGGGGGTCCATGCAATATGGCAGGAAGTGTTCTAAACACTTCTATATTGTGAACTGACCTAAGCCAATTTGTCCATTCAACAGCTGTCGGGCTCTTTGGGAAATAATAGGGATCTCTGATAATTAGAGGGAGATGGGCGCTACATCTACTCCCCCTCTCAACCTTGCTACTGGTGGTGGCTTTACAATAAAAGTCATTCTGCCACTCATACAAAGAGGCATAAAATCACCCACCTGTGGCTCCGTGTGAGTCCCACTCTGCCTTTTCGGTACTCTGACGCGCACTTTGCAGGAAAGGGTCATTTTGCCATTGTGGCTCAATGGCAGGGACCACTGGCCTCCTGATTGGATCAGGAGTCAGAAGTGAGAATAAATGGAAGTCGAGACCTAGAAGTCTCCTCTTGATGGTGGTGAGCAGCTGGTTTCCTTTCCTTTGCCTTGCCAGGGTAAAGTGCCCATTCAATCATTCCAGCTAATCATCTATTTTGAGTATTGCTTATTTCATCAATGAAATATATTTTTTAAAAGTCCTTTATGCTAATTAACTGGGCTGTGGATACAAGCATAGTTAGCAAGATTTGAAGCTCCTACATACTCTGGAGGGTAGGTCACTTAACAAATGTTCTCAGAGCACTCAGTAGGTGCTGGCATTGTGCTAAGCTCTTTGAATTTTCAACATTTTAACCCATGGAATTTTTATAACAAGCTCATCAGATGTAGATTGATATTATCCTGATTCACAGATAAGGAAACTGAGGCATGGAGAAGATGAGCACGGCTGTGGTCTGTTCTCTCATCTCTGTCCACAGACCCAGACCCCATACAGTAAACACACATTAAGAATGAATAGTAGTCACCAGAATGGCCATTGGTCCTCCTGAGGGCCTGAGATGGGTTGAGAGTGGGTATCAGCTGAGAGGTGCCCTGTCCTGTGTAATGGTGTCCGTTTTGCATTTATCATCATTCTCGTGCATCATGTGTGGCTCAGTGTTAGCCTTAACAATGACCTGGTTCCATAGGTCTATAGAATTGCCTAATTGGGTTTCCCTCAACAGAGACAGACATCTCCTGCATCCCAGGATGCCATGGGACCCAGCATTCAATACATTCTCCTAAAATGAGTGAATGAAGTCATGATTCAGGGAGAAGAATCAACACAGCTACGTGTGTGTGTTGTTTCCACTCTTATCTAACTTATTTTTAATAAAAACGTGCTCCCTTGATTTTTATGCTCATTGGGAAGAAGATGTATAGTTTCCATTATAAATTAGAAATAATTCAAGAGGCTCGGCGCCTGTGGCTTAAGTGGCTAAGGCGCCAGCCACATACACCTAAGGTGGCGGGTTTGAATCCAGCCCGGGCCTGCCAAATAACAATGACGGCTGCAACCAAAAAATAGCCAGGTGTTGTGGCAGGTGCCTGTAGTTCCAGCTACTTGGGAGGCTGAGGCAGGGGACTCGCTTAAGCCCAGGAGTTGGAGGTTGCTGTGAGCTGTGATGCCATAGCACTCTACCCAGGGGGACAGCTTGAGGCTCTGTCTCAAAAAAAAAAAAAAGAAAGAAAGAATTCAAGAAATGGAATGGGAAAAGAAAGAAAGAGAAATGAACACCAAGACACCAATCCAGTACCTGTGTGCAAGGCACTTTCACATATATCATCTCATTTAATTCATACCAAACTTATGAATTATCCCCAGAGATGTTAAGCAACTTGCCCAAGATCACACAGCAAGTAAATGGCTTTTCTGCTGGCTCTGTTGGATGCCAGCTAAGCTCTTGCTAGCACACTGCAGAGCTAGCATGCAAATGTGCTTAGGGAAGATGCCAGGGCCAGGCAGTGTCTAGAAGTACAATTTAGAGAGGTATTCAGAGGTCTGCCTTTCCCCAAAGAGAAAAGGCTTTGGAAAATAGCGTAACATGCTCTGTTCAGAAAGCGGACAAGTCTAGACAGAAAGGGGCCCCCCAAATCTCAAGATCCCTCTTCCCTTTCAGGTTTTCTATTATAACGAAGCAAGGCAGGGGCGTGGGACTTTCTAACATGCAAAACGTATGCAGAATTTTATTCAAAAATGTTTAATAAATCAAAGATGCACTTAGAACAAGAACCATCACACAGCCCAGATGGTGGCTCTTTGAGAGGCTGGAGATCCGAGGAGGCCGACCTGTGTTTCTGTAGAACTGATTGATGGGATGGGAGAGATAGGGGAGGGGTGGGGAACACACTCTCTGCCATGGACAACAACTGAACAGAGGAAATTTAAAATGCAAGAGGGAAGATTGAGGCCGCACTGAAGGATTAAAGACAGGAAAGAAGTGCAAATGCGCAGGTCAATTACTGTGGAGGATCCTGAGATGTTTAATTCATACCAGCCTGTGCCGCATCTGGAGCTGGGGAGTGGCATGGCGTCAACGATCCTTCCAAACCTTGGTGATCGTAGGAGTCAGAACCACCCATGACTTAAAACTAGCGTTCAGTATGACAAGAAGGCAGTGCCTCTGAATTTGGAGACCGTGGCTTGGCCATGAGCCATTGCCACAAGAGGGGCTTCTGTCTTCTGGTCAGACGTTGCTGCACATGGTGGCTCCGCCACCAACAAATGTTTATTAATGCTGACTCCTATCAGGTCCTAAGCTAGCGAATAAGGAGAGGGCCATGAACGTGATAGACGTGGCCCCTGGCTTAGTGGAGAACAGTGACATACATGATAAGGGCACCAAATGAGGCTGGAGAGGTGAACAGAGTTCAGGACAAACAAGGTCTTGGTAAGAATAGGGGACTCAATTCAAAGTGCAAAGGGAAGAGACTGAAAGCTTTTAAGCAGGGCCGTGTCATAATCCGGTTTGGTTTTATAAGTTAAAATACACCTGGGTGGTGGAGGATGAATGTAACAGGAGGCAGGGAGGAGGAGTCTGTGGGAGGAGGTGAGGCAGGGGATGGTAGGGGCTGGACTAGAGTGGGGCAGCAGAGGTGGAAGGTGCTGGAGGAGTGGAGATGCATCCTGGGGGTAGAAACACGCCCATAATTTGGGTTTGAAGATGGGAAGGAAAAAAAGAAACCAACCATGATTTCCAGATTTCCAACTTCAAAAGCCACATGTGCACTAGTGCCATTGCCAAGACGGGGAGTACCGGGACAAGGTCGTCATGGCACCCAGCCTCCAGCCAGCCCTGCCTGAACACTCCACACCTCCTTCTCAGAGAAAGAAGAGGGTTGGTACCCGGTGTTCACGCAGACTCCTGCCCAGCCAGACGCTCACTCTCCACCTGGCCACACTGAGGGGCCATGTGGAATTCAGGACTATCACTGGCTCTGGGGACCTCTCATCTGGGTCAATCAACTCCAACCTATGTTCATAAGGTTTTTTAAAAATCAAAATTGACCAGGATTTGACCATAGGAGGTTAAAGAACTTTACTTTTCCTGTAAAATTGACTTATGTCTGATACAAATCATGCCACATGATCTGAGTTTTCTTTTTCCTTTGGCCAAAACGGAGCTTAGCAATAAATGTGTAGCTCAGATTAGTAACTAATTCGCGTTTATGGCTTCCATAAGGGCACTCTGCTTTTCTCCTTGATACTGATTCATCCGGTGAACATCTGTCCCTGTCTGCCCCTTGCATCAGCCTGGCGATGTATGTGGCCCCTGCCACCCCTGCTTAGACTGAGGATAGACCGGGGATGTTCATCCCAAGCCTGCCTGAGCCATCCAGGCCTCCTGAGTCTGGTCCCTAACTAGGAGACATCCACTAAATTTCCAGCTAATAGCATGGGTGGTGTGATGCATCCAGGTGTCCCCTTCCCAAATGAGGCGACCTTTCTCTGAACTGCCAGGTATCAGTTACTGAGGGCTCTCAGCTGAAAATTACCCTTAACCAAATTATTACAACTTGGCTATGTATTATATAGATAATTTATTCCAATTATTCTCTGAGAATTCCCTTAAAGAGAGCTACTCGAAGTTACAGTCCTTCCACGGGGGCAGGTCATATCCAATGATCGGACTACCCTGGTACCAAGGCTCAGCCCCAGAACTTTCCATGGATGTGCTGGCATTGCAACTCTTCTCGTCTGCCCAGCCTACCCACCCACTGTCCCCCAGGCGTATTGGTTCTGAGAGTACTTCTCCATCCATACGGGCCTGGCTGGCTCTACTTCCCAGGAAACCCAAGCTGAGACAATAGCGGCTGCTGTCGTTGGGAGGACAGGATTTTCATAAGACTGGGCCCTTTGCCACCCTGATGAGCAATAGTAAGGAAGAGGAGATGGGGAAAGCTGGTCTGGCAGTAGGAGACCTGTGCTTTTAGATGTGGGGTTTTCTCTGATGAGTGCTCAGAGGGCTTAGGCCAAGACCCCAACATCCGGTTCGTGCAGCAGAGTGGAGGGTACACATGGTTTCAAGTCAAAAGAGCTCAAATTCCTTCCAGCCCTGTTTTCAAGTTACATGACCTGGGGCAGTTTATTTAACCTCTCTACGCCTCAGTTCCTTTAACTGCAAAATGGGCCTAATGAGTTTGTGTGGTAGTTATAAGGAGTTACTTGACTCAGGATTATTAAAAGCACTTGAAACATGAAAGCTGCCTGAAAAATATTGGTTTCCTTTCACAAACTCAGGGGTGTCCTACTGGCTTCTGGGCCAGAGAATGAGGTGTGTAGTACTGACTGGTTTCTAGTGGATATGAACATACTGCACTGGGCGGAGCAGGGGAAGGTTCCCTGCCCCAGGCCACCTTGACAAGGGATTTCCATGGCTCCTTCCTCCTGCCAGCCGGGGGCTCCAAGAAGTGAAGGATCCAGCTAGGGGACAAGGAGAGAGAGTAGCGACACTGGCGTGCAGGCTGTCTTCCCGGATCAGGAATGACTTCAGGAATGTACCTGAATACCAGCCTTGTGACTCTGAGTGAGAGGCATCATGAGAATGTAACTCTACAAGGCTGGAACTCGGTCTGTCTTTGTTAACTCCCTGGAGCAGTGCTTGGCACATAATAAGTGCTCAGTAAACTCTCATGGCAGGAATGACTGGATGATCTTTACTCCCCCAACTAGTGAAGAAGTTGCTGATTTCTGGAGGGTGCCTGTGTGCATAATTTCCATGTAAATGCTCTTGGGGGAGCAGTGTGTTGTCAGTCCAGACCCCCCACTCCCTTTTTCCAGTGAGCCTCCCTTGTTTTCTGGGGTCCCCTCAGCTGAGCAAAGCTTTGGCATTTCCGCATTGGTTTCAGCTGGAGCAGCAGTGGTCTGCAAGGCACTGCCCCGGTTTTGTAAATGCAGGTTTACTGGCACCTAACCATGCCTATTTGCATAAGTATTGCCTGAGGCTGCTCTTGTGTTACCACGGCAGGATTGAGTGGTCACAACAGAAATTGCATGGCCAGAAAAAAACCTAAAATACTTACTTTCTGGCCCTCTCAGAAGAATTTGCTGCCCTCCATCCTAGAGAGATGAAATTAGGGAAGGGCTTCTCCCAAGAAGGTGGTCGTTCCTTCTCTGGGTTGGAAACTATAAAACTACACTCCCCCGGCACCAGGCCCTGCCATCTCTGAGGGGGTGGAGCCCGTGTCATCCCATCCAGCCAGGGGTTTTCCACCGGTGTGCCCCGAGAGGATCTTAGGTGTGCCACAGAAATTTTTAAATTAAACTTTTAATTTAATTAAAAATTAAAATTCTTAATTTTAAAAAAATTAAAAATAATTTTTAAAATTATTTTTGAAAGAATTTCAAAGCACAGTCAGTATATATTTTTTAACTCTTTTCTTTTTTTGATCATCATAATGTAAGTGTGCCATGGAAATTTAACTGTAGGTTCAAGTGTGCTATGAGTTAAAAAAGTTTGAAAAACACTGACCTAGAGGCTCTGCGGATACCAAAGCCAGGGTGTGTTACAGTTTGTGCTAAGCACCTTATCCTTCTGCCCTCATGTGCATGGAAGGAAGAACTATATTATTTCCCTCTTCTACAGATGAGGAAACAGAGGCCCAGAGAGGGTAAATGACTTGCCCAAAGTCACACAGCAGAGTTGTGGCAGAGCTGGGGCTCACCCCACACCATCTGTTTTGAGCCCCAGCTGCCTCTCTTTGGCACTGCCCAGGCTCCTGTCATAACTGAAGGCTTAGCAGAAAGAAGGAAGAAGAAGGTTACTTGAGGAAAAGAAAAAAAAAAAAAACCCTGAAGCAGGTTTGTTCAGGCCCAATAGGTAATTGCAGTGTAAAAACAATCCTTCACCCAGTACCTCAAAGGGTGGGTCTCTGGCAAGGCCGTTCCTTTGAGTAGAAGAATCAGCTGATTGAGGAGCAGACTCTCAAGGCCTCCTGAGGCAGGACCAGGACTCTCCCAGAGACAGGCACCTAGAAAATGAGACTTAGAGCACTAGACTGACCTGGAACCCCCTGACACTTCCACGGGGAGGAGCACCAAAGGCTCAGCGATTGTATTTAAAAACCAGAGATTTGGGGCATGTCATCTGAGTGATTTAGTGGTGTGGCTTGCCCGACCCTTTCCATTCTGCTTTTTACTGTCTGTGCAAATGCCTTGAAGACTCCAGCTCTGCACCTGGGAGACAGCAAACTCCTCATGGGAGCGGCCTCGTGGGCCCTTACCCTGGGATCAGGTAACCCTGACAGTGTCCTCAGCTCCACGCCAACGTCCTGCTTACCCACCACTGCCACCATCACCGCCTCCCAGTCCAGGGAAACCTCCCGCCCAGGACGATTTCTGTTTCACTGTTTTTGGCCTATCTCTCACTAAGGTTAACTGTTTGCTTTCTCATGGTCTGCCCCTCTCCTCCTCACCAGTCTGCGGCTGCCTCCTTCATGCTCGAGTCCCCAGCACCGGGCTCACAGTAGACCCTCAGTGACTATCTGATGAGTATGAATGGGGTGTTCAGGAATAAGCTGGCGTGTGCTTTGGACTTCACAAATGCCTTCTGCTTCTCCCGGGCAGTTTTTCTTTTCACGTCGAGTTGGCGACATATGTTATCTAAGGCATCCTGGTCTTAACAGGCACTTTAATAAAGGGTCTTTTATTTCTTCTTCCCATCTGACATAAAGTTATTGAGCACCTATCAAGTGCCAGGCGTTTATGCAATGGCGATCAAAATAGAGTACCTGCCCTCGTGGGCTTCCATTCTAACGGAAGGCAGTGAGGGACCCGCTATTAATGAAGTACCAGTACAGGTCTGATGTGACGACCTCGCCAGACACATGCAGGGTGTCTGAGAAAGTCGTGTTTTGGCTAAGCTCTGACAAATGCATTTATTGGGTGAGTGAACTACATTAACTTGCTCAAAAGTAATTAGGGGTAGAGTTAAGAACAGAGTTAGGGTCAGAGTAAGGATTAGGGCAGTGATTTTTTCCTTCTATGCTGTGAGAAGATCGTAAGTGTGCCACAAAACATTTTTGAACATCATTAATTACATTATTTTCAAAAGAAATTCAAAGCACTGTACGTATATTCTTTGTTTTATTATTATTATTTTCCTATCAACATCATGTACGTGTGCTGTGGAAGTTTAACTATAGGTTCAAGTGTGTCATGAGATAAAAAAGGTTGAAAAACCCTGGATTAAGGGAAGGACGAGGTAAGATCAGAGAACCACGTTCTAGAAAAAGGGACCATGATGTGCACCTGTCATAGGGATTGGTTGGATATTGACCAGTGGGGAGTTGGCATCTGCCTAAAATAGGGTGGACACAACATAAATGGAGGAAAGAAAAGAAAAGTGGGAGGAAGAAAAATGGCAGGACTCCGTCAGTCCTTCAGGACTCATCTGGCGACTGAGGCGTGGACTTTATTTGGCCTTCTCCTAGGCCGGGACCTGTGGGCTGTCCATGGCTGGCAGCCTGGCTTCCAGAGGTGGGAGGAGCCACTGAGCCTCTGAGCGCACGTGCCAAGTAGAGATGGCAGATGGGGGCCAGGGTTGGCAGGGGCATAGTAAGCACCTGCCTCAGTTGGCAGCCGTGTTTCAGAGCCTTGATTTAGGGCTCAGGCCTGGAGGCCTCCTGGAGCCCATGCACAGATGACTGTCGGCAGTCAGGTGTTTACAGAAGCTCATGATCATGTCTATTAAAGAGAGCAATTGTGTCCACGAGAACCCGCACTTAACGGGTAATTGCTGATGTATAAAGCCCTGCCTGCGACCCATGTAGCCAAACAAGGGACATAGGGAACAACTGTCCTGAAATATGAACACCGTGATTTTTTTTCCCCTCCCCTTGATCAAAGAAAGACTCCAATGAAAGGAGAAAAAAAATAATTAAAAAGTAAAACCCTTACGTAATGAGATGTAAAAGAAAACTTTTGAAGCCAACAAGCAACTGTGGGCAATACTTCAAAGGGCCCAGAATCAATGTTTGTCAATAGCAGTTTTGCAGCCTTTAATTTATCTTTCATGAATATAAAGTGTGATGTTATTAGGAGCCCATCCAGGCCTTAATTTTTGTTTGAGGTCTGATGAATCAGAAGCCTATTAGCATTCTGTCCAAATTGGCAATGGCGGAGGACCGTGGCCACAGGCCTTACCTGATCTTTCATCCTGTAGTTGGGTTGCTCGTTACAGGCAGGCCTTCTGCCCTGAACACTCGGCAGCTCCCGTGTTCACCCAGGGGGGTTCCTCATGTTGCCTACTTTCTTTGGAGACTTTCTTCTCCGAAGAGAGGCCACCTCATGACTCAGCCCAGCCCCAAAGTTACCATTTGTTTAATCAAGATAGTTGGTTTCCAAAACATTAAACATTAAACAGTATTTGATGCCTAGTTAATAATTTGCATCCTCATTTGTTCCTGCATCCTTGGAGACTGACATTTCTCCCCCCTAAAGGCACAGAAAACAAAAGGAATCGTTTTGAGAGCAAAACTCAAGTCCTTACACTGCAAAGATGTTTGCCAGAGTGTCTAAGCTCCAGGTTCTGCTGTTAATGGTTCTGGTGGGAAGGACCACCTTCGGGGTAAGTGTTCCTTTCACATATCTATACTCCGAGACTCTGAGGTTATTAGGAGCACCAACCCAGCTGGGCTGCCTGAGAAACTTTGGGGTAAAAGGCTGGAGTTGCCAAGTAATATGTCTGGCTTACATGCAGGCTTGTGGCGTTGGGCGGCGTCGGGCAGCAATCCCATGGTGACATGCGTCTGACTTGAGCCCTGTTGGATCTCTGTGAATGCACTCCAGCAAGGGCAAGGGCAAGAGAATCTGGAAAAGTCCTGGGTTATAATCTGTCATGGATCTCAGAGACTCCTTTGAGAAGCCAGTGAAAACTATGAACCACGGCTGGGGAACCTGCAGCCTTAAGGGCACAAGTGACCCTTCAGGTCACCAATGCAGCCCCTGAACTGAATCCAAACTTCACAAAACAAATCTCTTTATTAAAAGGATTTTTCCTGTAAAATTTGGATTCAAAAGGCCACACTCAAGGATTCAGAGTTTGAACACTTGCCCCAGAGAAGTATACCTATAATGCCAGTACTGACATACACACCCAGTCTTCTAACCATTTGGGGCAAGAATCCAAGCATTTTGGCCTTAGGGAAGACTCTTGCTGGCTATAAATGATCCTGGTGATGGGCTTGTTTGGATGGATTAGATCTGGGGAGAAGCTCTGTGGTTAGTTTTTCTTCTTTTCCCCTGCCCACAGGGGCTGGAGGGTGAGCTGGGGCCCAGGGGAGGGAAGTACCATCAGAGGGTCTTGAAGGAGGGACCCAAGACCTTTGGGAGCAGATAAGTTATATAGATATTGGCTCCTGCTGTGGGCTGTTGTGGTCTCAGAGTGTCAGCGGGATCTCGTGGGCATGTGAGAAAGGGCGCCTTCAACAGAAATGAAGCCTCCTGGGAGCTCCACACTGGATGTGGTCTGAGGCATGAGGGTGGGCTTTGAAGCCTGGGTTTGAACCTCAGCTCTGCACATTCTAGCTGTGGAATGTTGGGCAAGTAATATAATCTCTCTGAGCCTCAGTGTTCTGTTCTGCGAACCAAGTGCTAATCTCTCACAGATTTGGGGAGGGTCACGATTAAACGAGGTCATGCGTGTGGCTTGTGGTAAATATTACCTCTTTTCTCTTATAATTTCTAGAATGAACCCGACTTTTCCATAAACATCAGAGAATACCCCCTATTGGGGGGGAAAGAGTGATAGAAAGCAGACAGGGGGTGAGAACTGAAATACCAGTCAGGGCCTCCTGGTCACAGTAAGAACCTTTGCATGGTTGCCCGCCTTGCACACCAGAGAGCATTTCCTGAAGGAAGCAGATTAGCTTACAGGTTTTCTGATTAGTGTGTTTTAAATACAACAGCTTCCCCTCCCCTTTCGGTAAACAGAGCTCAGACACCCATCTTAGCTCCCTGTCAAGTTGCCAAGTGACTCACTTCTGAAAGGCTTTTCTTTTCAAATTATGACTTTTGTATGTGTGGTGGCTGCAATTACAGATCACTATCAAGCCCCTACATTGTTTGATTGTTTGTTGGATGTCTGAGGCCGAGACACGGCAGAAATACCAGAGGTCTAGAGAGAGGCGGTCGGAATCATCACAGGCCCACAAGGGGCCCAGAGAACGTACCGGTCGGAAAGAATTAGATCCCCAAGTTCGCAGGCAAGGAGAAGCGTTGACACAGTCTGTTTGACGTTCACAAAAGGATAATGGTCCCGAAAAATCCCTTTTTTGCAAACCCCAGTGAATTTTTAGGGTTAGCAATGAAATTATAAGTCAATAATGGATAAAAGAGAAAATATGAGAGTTAGCCTTCAGGCAATGAGCTTAGTCAATTCCAAAGAGAGGATTCGGGGCTTTGGAATGTTTGCTTACCCCAGATGTGTGCCAGACAGGTGGTCGGGAAGGCAGCTTGAGTTGCACAGGCCAGCACACAGACACCGGGGGAAAGTGGCCAAGTCACTCAGATGCTTTGGAGAGTTTGGGGCATCTTGGAGGGTAAGGGAGCCACATGGCCAGATGGGCCAGGTGGCCTCTCAGCACCACAGAAGTAAAAGTGATAACCAACTGCCACCCTAAAATGAGGAGGCCTGAGTGCCAGGCCGCGAGCTTTCGTGAATTGGCTCATCTCTGGGAGGGCCCTAAGAAATAAGTCTGTTACTCTTCCCGTTGTACAGACACAGAGGGGGAAAACTTGGCCCCCAGTCACAGAGGTGGTTGGTGTCTGTCTAGAGAAGTCTCTTGCCTGGGACGCTGGCTGAGGATGACGTCTCCTGGGTCCACATAGGTCTGGGCCATGGTCCTTTCTGCAGGGAAAGGAGGCTCCTAGACCAGGGGTCTGTTCGTTGTGCAGAGGACAATGGACTCCTTGTGCCTCTGAAACCCTAAACAAAGGGTCTACACGGGGACCCTCCCATGAATTCAGATCACACATCAAATGAGCACTCCTCTCTGAGATCAACTTCCACGTAGAAGTATATTCAGATACCCTTTGGGTCGAATATCGCTGTATGACCTCCAGGGCCTCACCCGCAGTGCCTCCCTATCCTGGTCTAGATAGGCCGTACCTGTCAGCTCCGAGCACCTGTCTGGCACAGTCTTATATTCTCATCCCTGGTTGATAGGTGAGAAACAAGCCCAGAGATGCTGAACGAGCTTCCTGGCCGGGTCTATTCGACCCCTGCCCATCACAGGAGGCCTGCTCAACTGTAAGGAGGACGCGGACTGTCTGAGAATCCCTTCTTGCTGTGTGTGGTTCTTAGAGATGGGGCACAGCTGGGTTTAGCCACAATGGAATTTGACCTCTTCCAAGGTCAGAAGCTGGAGGACAATGCTGGTCAGGCCAGCCTGCTTATCTCAGCCCTTCCCCAGAGAGGAGGAAAAGACGATAGCTTCTCCTCTCCTCCACAAAGGGAGCTCAAAATTGCTGTTTGCTCACATTTCTGGGCTTTTTAAATCCTAGAACTCTAGACTCTTTTTGCTGCTTACAGGATTTGCATAAACCAGAGGTTGCACACTGTCAGCTTGGAGTCTATTCCGCTCACAGCTTGAGTTTTATTTGCTGGGGAGAAGATCAACCTGAGGAGTATTGTAGTTTTCTTTGAATTGTTTGGGGACATTGGAAAATCAGAACCTTTCGCATGAAGATACAGATCTCCGGGTTTTCTGGAAAATCAAACATTCAAGTAACACTGGGCTCACGTTCTTGCCTGGCCCCATGGGGAGAAGCGGTCACTGCCTGGTTATGAGAATAGGCTTGGGTCTCCCCGATCCTGCCGTGCCCACCACTTTCTAGACCCCTGTGCCATCTGGCTAATGTGCATTATAGGTCTGGTTCTAAGAGAGAGCAAGTGAGAGGAAGGGAGGGGTCTGAGGGAGAGAGAGAGAAACATTTGAGATGGGCAGATGAGCAGCCCAGCATCTGACTAATTCAAGCATCCAGACCTGCATGGCTCAGACCAGCCGAGGCCTTGGACAGGAGGGAGCGAGGCCCCTCTGCAGAGCTCCAGCATGGCGGTCTCTTCAGGCCTACAAGCACCCAGACAGCCGTCCTTCCTTCTTGCTATCCTCTACACAGCGTCTCACTGAAACAGGAGAGACTGAGTTTCACTGCAACTTCTCATAGGTTTCTTTTTTAAATTGATCCCAAGCACAAGTCTCACTGATTAGCTTTGGCAGTATACACTGGTATTTAAAGAAATCAGGTCGCAGGAAATCGCCTGTGTATATAGGCGCGGATATATTTATATTTTAAATTCATTAGGGTTTCCTAAATGCAAAAGCCATTCTGCTGTCACAGAGAAACAGCATGGCAGAATATTCGGCAGCCGGGATTTTAAATAAAACATGCTTTTTCTTCATAATTAATATAACAAGGTTTCCTGGCTTAGGGCTTGGCAAAGATCCCAGGGAAAGTGGTGGGGGGAGGGGGCTGGTGTGACGGCGGCGCCTGTGACCTGACAACAAGTTCCAGGAAAAGTTTGTGCTGAGCCAGCTCTCCTCCGTCAACCCCCCTCAGGGAGCACTCTGGCGATCCGATCCGCAAAACAAAACAGAACAAACTCACAGACAACAGAGACTAATAACGGTAATAATAATAATAATAGTAATTATAACAACAGCAGCAACCAATGATTAGGTCTTTAAATACCCAGACACTGTGTGCTGTAGGTTTATTATTTGATTTAAGCTTCCCAATAACCCTGTGGGGTAGGAACCAGTGTCATTCCCATTTTAACAAATAAGAAACTACGCTTCAGAGAAGTGAAATAATCTACCCAAGAGGCACTCCTGGGAGGTAACAGAGCTGAGATTCAAACCCGGGTCTGCCCCATGCCAAGTTCTACGGGTGTGAACACTGTGGTGTAGAGTACTGTTCCTGGCACTGTCCAAAGACAAACAGGACAGTTCGATGCCACATCAGAGGTGTCAGATGGGGCAGAGGCCTCAGACTCCAGCCTGGAGGTTCCTTCAGTGGTCCCTGAAGCTTTCCTTTCTGACACTAGAGGGATCACTTGCCAGACAGCTAACCAATTAGTTCAGTGTTCTCAAAACTTCAGTCACGAATGAATCCATCTGCAAAAATGTTACCAAAGCCCACCTTAGTTTCTTAATACATTTCCTAAACAGACTCCCCTTTTCTGTACTGAGATGGATTCATTTTTCAAGGAGACTGTCACCACTATTAAGAAAGCAAAAGAGATCTTGAATTCTACCTGCTGCAGTTGTCACGCTGAAGCCCCATCCTGCAGCAGCTTACCCCTTGGGGTGGGGGGGAGCAGGTCAGCGGGGCAGACCCGCTACCTTCCTCCGGGTGGGATTGGAAGGGCTGACAGGAAACCAAGGAAGGAATGACTTTCTCATGCTGGCCAGGCACCACGAAATCAACTTCAGTGCCACCAATGGGTCCATCCCACAGCAGTTTTGAGAACACTGGTGGCCAACCCCAGCAGTGGTAGTTACTTTCCGGAAGCCCTGGGCTGTTTTCCGAAGGTGACTGACCAAGGTTAATTTGGGGTCTTGGACC